ATTTACTTTTATTATTATATAATATATATATATTTTTTTTTTCTTCTTTTTTTTGAGCATTCTTATTGCATGCGATTGTCGTTCAATAATATATAACATAACATTTTATTTCTATGCATATTTAGTATGTGTACTTACATATATGTATGTATGTATGTATGCATGTATATTTGGGTATAACTTCTCTGTTCAATTGAATTGCATTCTGTGTGCCATAAATTTGTTCAACTTGATCTCTATACAATGTTTAGCTAATTAGTTTATAACTTGTCATTTGGTTAATTGGCACAGTTTAAATATTAGTTAAACTCTCTCTATATATATTTATATACTATATTTAGTTTGTTGTTCTCTATTGCCTGGTTGCCTCATCCTCTGCTCTCCTATATGACGACATATGTAGTATATATATTGCTGCTTAGCTTTAGGTTTCTGATTGCCGGTTTCGTATGATGTTTTAACGTGCGTTTTAGTTTCGTTTTACTTCTGCTTTGCTTTTGCCGGGCTTTGAAATGTGTTTACAACCTGCGCTTAACTTAAAGTAACTATTTACACAAACAAATAAAATTATAAATAATAAATAAATCACTCATGCTCTTCTTTACTCATTCTCAGCCAAATTGAAGCTCCATCAGTGTAGCAAAAACGAAATGAAAGCGAACAGACAACGCGCCTCGCACACGGGTGAATCCGTAGATGTTGACTTAAATATTTACATGGCGAGTGCAAGCAGCATATTAATTTTAAAAATTAATGGAAAATTATAATTGCATTTGTTCGATTGACGCAACTGGGCCATTGTCTGGCTTTGGTTGCTGTGGTTGTCGTTGTTGCTGTTGCTGTGGCTGCTGCTGCTGCTGCTGCTGCTGCTGCTGGCAGTCTCTTACACATGACTGGAGGCCGTGGCGGCTGCTGCATTGTTGTTCTTGTTCCATTTGTTGATGTACTCCATGGGTATCTCGATCTGTATCTCCTGCACATCCTCGGCCGACAGGCTGCCCAGACTGGGCTTGGGCCTGGGGTTATCCAGCCGGGAACCGGGCGCGGCGCCAGCCGCCAGCCGCTGCTGCTGCTGGGCAATGGGCGTCAGCAGCGCCTCGTCCCTGTATTATAAGTTGTCCACCATCTGTGACTGGCGGCGATGCGAGGGCGTGTTCGAATTGAGATAGCTCTCCGAGTAGACGCTCTTCGCGCGCTGATCGTAGCGCAGGCTGGAGCGCCGTATGTCAATGTCCAGCGGCATGTGCCGGTCCTTCCACCAGTTGCAGAACAGGCAGAGCAGCGTGTTGCGGAAGGCCTCCCGGAAGTCGCGATTGAAGTACGCGTAGATCAGCGGATTGAGCGTGGAGTTGAAGTAGCCAATCCAGAAGAGTATCGAGACCACAATGTCTGGCACCTGGCACGCGTCGCAGGTCATGGAGAGCGTGTACCTGCGAATGCACGAACAATTCAAGCCACATTCATAACAAAAGAAATGCGAAATGTTTGCCTCTTTTCTTTTAGAGGCCGCCAACAACGACAACAGCTCAAAGAGCCGCCGTGGCGTATGAGTAATATTTAATTATGCATGCTCGACGTTAAATAAATTACACTTGAGCCGGCTGCCAGCGGGTCGCATCGCTCACTTACCACACGAAGAATGGCAGCCAGCAGAGAATGAAGGTGCCCATGATGATGCCCAGAGTGCGTGCGGCCTTGTGCTCCCGCTTCATTTTGATTAAATGTTTGTCCTTTGTCGGGGTGTGCTCCTGCTCGACCTCATGCAGTGTCAACGTTTTCGATGAGCCCGAGCCGCTCAGCGCCTCGCCTGCCAAAAGGGGACATGATAAATGCGCAGGGATTAGCATCAGCTCTAGCCCGACCATGTGTGTGTGTGTGTGTGTGTGTGTGAATGTGTGTGTATGTGACTCTGTTAGCCAGCTACCCAGCTCATCCAGCCGATTGGTAATTCAAGCCTTCGGCTCTCAGCTCTCACCTGATGGCTGCATCGATGGGCGATGCATGAGCATCGCATTGCCATGGCGCATCATCAGCTGCTTCTCCTGCCGGTTGGCCTCACGGAAAATGGCCAGATAAGTGAAAATCATTATGGTGCAGGGTATCCAGAACGAAATCGAGCTCGATATGATGGCATAGTAAGTGTTCACCACAAACGAGCACTGCTCGGGATGCTCCTTCACGAATACCTTGTGCTTGTCTGTCGTATACCAGCCGATGAAGATGGGCAGGAACGAGAGCAGCGCCGGCGATATCCATGTGTTCAGCAGCATAATGCCAACCACGCGTTTTGTCATGCTAATCGGATACTTGAGCGGCTTCACAATGGCATAGTATCTGCAAAAAGACCAGATCAGGAGCAGAGTGCCACGGTTATTAGTATTTCAAGTGAGCCCTCACACACACATATACCATCATCAGCCGTTGCCGCGAAGTACGTACCTATCCACTGATATGCAGCATAAATGCAAAATGCTTGCAGTTGAGAAGTACACGTCCAAGCTGTTCCACAGGTCGCACAGGAAGGGGCTGAAGTTCCAGCTGAATATTTGAGCGAAAACAAACATGGAAATGTTGACAGGTCTGTGATTAAGCTATTAACTTAATATTATATAATAACGGTCCGATGTGCAAATATTTGCCCCACAAAGTATGCTACGAAAAGTTTAAAGCTCCCTGGCCGAACTCCAAATGCTCTGGCTGTCTTATCAGCGTGTCTGATTTATGTGTTTATCGATTTCATCTCTTGTTAGTTTTGGCTGGCTGGCAGGTGACATTGCCCATGAACTGGCACAGTTTGCCAGCCAGGCCGAGCTGCTTTAATGCACTGTTCGGCCAGCTACAATGGCTGTTATGTTGCCGTAGGCACGCACACACACACACACACACAGAGGGAAGGACTTCTACACGCCAACGACCTGGTTGCATGAAAAACTCATTAAAAGTCGCGCCGTTGTCCCTGCTGAGCCGCGCCTACTCCGCCCTAATCGTCCCCCAATCGACCCGACCCATTACTTCTCTCTCTCTCTGCTTGGTTTCGCCAACGGGCAGGAAAATTTATTATCAGACGACCGGCTTGGCATCAGTTTCAAAAACTTTTTGACTATTCAGAAACTGTGTGTGCGCACGCCTGCAGTAATGCCAGGATCGGGGAATGAAGGCGTAGGCATAGGCATAGGCGTAGGTGTGGGCGTGGGCGTAGGCGTGTCTCTGCTCGTGTTGGCCTTTTCAGCGTTTTGCAAGTTTCTTTTTTTCCTCCCATTTTCCCATTTTTGTTTTTGTTTTTGCATTGTTCCGTTATGCGCTGCCATGAATTGGCGCTTAAGCTGGCCCGCACAGAAGGGGGCGCGGCAACGATGGCGACGTCGGCGCCGCGGGCCAGTGTCAATTATGCAGCCAGCGCCAGTGAAGGTAAAATTGCTAATGAATGCCAAGTGGGCTCTGGCTGGTAACGAGCTCAGCTGCCAATTTATATGCAACTTTCGTGGACAAGTGGCTGGTCGAAAGTTTTCCGAAAGGCCTGGCCCAATTCCAGTTCCACGTCCAACTCCGATCTCCAGCATCAGCCCCAGCGCCAGCGCCAGCGCCAGCGCCAGCCCAAGCAAAGTGCAACTTGCGACATTATGCGCTGCACTCTCGTGGGAGCAATGAAGCGATGTGGCTGGCGATGACATTGCAAACATTTTTGCTGATCCTTTGCCTCGAGTCGAGCTTAAAGTCGTCGAGCTGCAGCCTGTGCATAATTAACTAGGCTATGTCTGTGCGCTTGGCATCACATGCACATATCGCATTACAATTGCACAAGCATGCACACACACGCACACACACATGGACAGCTATGTGAAGGATGTGACCATGTCACACTCTGACGGGTTTCTGTGCCCAAGAATAGCAGTTGAAAGAGCGCGTTTGTGTGTGCCGTCATTCTCTGCTCTGCATGCATACCCTTACCAACTGGAAGACACTGAGCTAAGAGATGGCGTTAGCGACACTTGAATGTGTAAAAGAGAGAGAAGATTGCATTTTTAAGGGAAGTTACAAACTTACATTTCATCTGTTACGATTACTATTTTAAGCAGATTTATTTATTTATTTATTTTATTTTCAAAATTTTTCCTGTATAATATTCACGTACTCTTAATAA